CTGGGCGGAAGAGTCGATGGTCGAGAGTGTGTAAGAGCTTTCTAGGACAGTCTGAAGTGCTTCTAGAAAAGCCTGGGCTGAGGTTGCCACAGCACTCCCTCCGCCGCACAACCATCCGCATTTGTGCTCAACCAGGCATGAAAGGCGTTGTTTGAAAGCGAGTGGGTGCAAGTTGTGTGGCGCGTGTGCACAAAGGAGAAGAGGCGAGTTCGTGGTGTGACAAAAAGGCTGCTTTGCGTGTGCTAGAATCGATGGGCAAAACACCACCATGTGGGCCTTGGTTTCGCCGATTTGCATGCTCTCAGAGACGTGTGCGTCCTTCAAATGTTGAGTTCACTGATCTGTAGGACGCAATTTAATGCCAGCGACTTGCCGTCTCTTCCTTTAACGGTGAAAGCGAATTTCATCTTTTGTTGGGGTAAATGAAGACCTCATTGATACGGAGGCTGGCGAGACCTGACGCCTACCTTATGCCTTTCCGAAGCTGTCCCGCGATCTCGTATGTCTACTTCAATTTGGTAGGGCGGGGGGAGGGTTGATTTGAGTTTCACAGTCACTGAGACGATGGCTACAGTCATTTGTCACTTGACAGACTTAGTTCATGATTCTCACATGTGTGCGACTCATCTTGCAACGTTTTCACCCGAATGCCTCCTCAGGAAACTCGCACGGATACAAATACCCATAGGCTCTCTATTCAGAGGGACTTTATGCAATTCCAGAGGGTGTAACCGTAAGATTAAATGTCCATCCCCTTAGCCTATTGATATACTGTGTCCATGTACTTTCCCTTCATTTATGTGATTTCACTTTCTCATGGCATGCCACTTGAAACCGTCATGCCTTTCTTCGCGCATTTGTGGACTTCGATATATAAAAGCAGTGTATTGCGAAGGTCAAAATCTGCAAAAAGGAAGGCATGTTGAGTTTGCCTATAAAACCAGAGTTGAGGAACCACATTTTGCTAAGTTGCCTGCATTGGCTGCCAATTGGGGACATTAATCGATGGGCCTTGTAAGATTACGCCAGAGTAGGTGCTGTTTTCAGACGCCAAACCTAGCTTGCGTCGGTTCCCGCTGCCAAAGTGCTCTCTCTCTATCCTTTCATATTATAAAGCATGTATTATCACTTGTAGGACGGAAATTGCAGAGGTTTGAAGTTAACGAATCACAAGTTGCAGAGGTAATTCCCGAGGTAACAATTGCACGGCGAAGCGCAGAACGTGTAAGTCTCTCCTACAATTATCATTAGTCTTTAGAAACTGGACGAAATGCGATTTGACGAGAAAAGGGAGATAATCAAGGCAAAGAACGTAAGTGCTGAATTTTCGTTTGTTACTGTTGCGTACTTTAGCTTTTAAAAGCTCAAAGTAGTAAGGCGCTACAAGTCAAAAACAACGACAGTGGATTGTGACACATGAACCACTCACAGGATTTTCTGTAAATAAAGCTGTTCTGCATAATCCTCTTCATACTTTTTTTTTAAATATTAGCTTGTCATCTGCGATCTGATAAACACAAATACATTCACCACACTGCAATCAACTGGTGATTCAGTATAAACTAAAAGAGCGGGATCGACTGCGCCACTTCTTCGACTTCCCATTCTCTGTTCCGGACGAGACGCGTCGATTTGGGTTGGTCTTTTTGCCAGGACCACGACGAGGGTGGGGCTATGCATTCCAACAAAAAACTTAAAGTAAACAACCTTAGCAAACCAGCGTTACACTTTTTATCCGAAGTTCAAATGCTTTCACACCTAGCTCGTCATCTCAAATCGTGAATATGATGTCAGTGGACATGAATTTGCCACCCGCCACGCCCTTGATCACTTCACCCGTCATTTCAAAACTCCACTTCACCATCATAACTATTTTACGGACACCGTTTACAAATCATACTTCCATGTATTTTAACAGTGTACTGTTTATCGGATATCTCTTTGCGGGAAGCCATAGTCTCCTTAGCTTTACACAGCCCAATAACGACCGTGCCTGATTAACAAGAAAAGATTAGCACAGATATATTTAGAGAGGCCGAAATACACAAATCTCAACCGTCAGCAACACTGCAGGAAAGTAGACAGAGGGAATGTGCTGTTGGAATGTGTCGCGTGCCCAGTCAACATCGGCTGGTTGACGTGGGGCTGATAAACGATAATGTACATTTATGATACATATAAAAGCTGTACAGGTAAGGAAAAGAGGCTACTTCATAAACCACTTGAAACGTTGTACGTAGGGGGGGAAGCGGCGGTGGCGGCCGCGGGAGCTTGGTGAAGGTAGCCTAAGAAGGAAGACTGGTCGGACGATAGTACATATGGATGTTGGGAGGTGTACGACTGGGGATCGCTTGTTAAATACCACTCCTTTTGCATTTCATTGTCCCTTTGTTCCCTGGGTCGGGGGAGGTAGGAGATCGCAGATGTTCTGCCCGTGGTCACAACGTCGCAAGCGGCGGCATCCGGCGATGGCGTGGTCGAGTAAGCCGATGCAGTCGTGAAGGGCAGTTGTGTAGGATGTTGAACGTATGGAGTGCCTCCGGAAAGGTATGGATGGTGTGGTGCCGACTGCTGCTGGGAATATGAATCCACAGAAAGGACCTCGTCTAAAAAACAGGAAATGACAAATCCACGAACCTCAACAAGCACCACTTTGTTACTAATAGCTCTGCTTGATTGATCCCTTACAAACCCACTTGGCGTCTAACGGTCTCTAGCCGCTGTTTCGAAATGTCACAACCACTATGCCTTCTCAATCACTTGACAGCACTGTTGACCACCACCACCAGTTATCTTCAACAGTTTAAGACCACAATAGTTGTCCAAGCACGCCGTGTTAGAAGCGGGCTCTGTTCTTTAGGGGAGCATTTTGATGACAGGCACTTACCAAAAGGAACTACTGTGTATACTTTTCTGGTAGGCATGTTTAAATCGCTTTAGAATAAAAAGTATGAGGAAAAAATTGAGAACACCGTGATGCTATATTACACTATTTGGAGAGAGGGAGGAGAAAGTACAAATGACATCAAACGCCTGACTGGTCATTGGTGGAGTTAACCAACGCGCAGAAGTAACCACTACTTACCCATTCTATCTGGATAACCCTCGCCAGCCTCAGAGAACTTGAGTCGGGACATCTGCTCATGGTGGTTATGTCCAGCACCGAAATCATACTGCTGTTGCGAATTTGGAGCGGAAGCTGTAGTAGTGACGTAGCACGGCTGAGGCTGAAGAGCAAAACTCTCGTGCGAGGATTTCCAGTAGGATGTATCCTCACCTCCCTGTTGGTGGTGACGACTGGTTGAGGGATAGGAGGCCGTATAGAAGGTGTGGTCAGCTTCGGAAGCTTCTGCGGCTTCCTGAAGACACTTCATCGAAGTCACGGTGCACACCACGTACTCAACCTCGTTGCTATAGGGATTGAGGAAGGCGTAGATTGTGCACCGAACTGCAACTTGGTCGTGCAAGGCCGTCTCACTGGTTACCGCGGCGGAAGAATGAGGCGAGGAAGGTGGAAGACGTAGGCGGAGAGAAATACTGTACTGCTGACCCTTCGAATTCCATGCTGCAGTGCAAAACATAGAGAATAAATTTCGCAACTTGGCATAATTTTTAGGTGAAATATTACACTTGTATAATTTTCAGAAAAATCCTGCGTTATTACTTAGCTTTAGGTATTAGTGCGGATCTTTGATGAATTGGCAGTACAGCACAATATTTCGCACTAACATTAGTTCATCGTTTTTTCGGTGATGATCGTGGCTTGAAACACCCAAGGAGGAGGGCAACACGCTACCTGACCTACGCAACAGGTGAGCACAGATGGTATCAAGAGTTTACCACTTTGAAGTTAACTCTAAAAGTCGACCAAACTGGTACTTGAGTTAAAAAGTCCCTTCTTATGCAGTGGACTTTTACCGAAAATAAAAGCGATTCATGTCGCAAAAAAAATAAACGACTAAATGTGGGCAAAACCCATACAGTAAGTCCAAAGGCCCCACCATAGTTTGGCAGAAAATTGTAGCACCAAAAATACCACCTACATCTGTAAGGAACAAGCGTATTTAGGAGGATACGTGTCGATAGAGCACTAAAAAATCAAATAGGCAAATCTCCCCTGACATGTGGTGGGTATTGGGACAGGTATGCACGTGGGCATGTGGGGGAGATGGCGAGAACGCGAAATTAGAATAACGCAGACACGCAGTCACACACACACACACACATACCCGCACATCATACACACTACGGCAGACCGCTGCTGCTGCCGCTGTTACAGCGCTATGGGAGATTCGCCTCAAACACCCGCATACGCGCAGAACCGTCACACTCACATCCGCGCGCACAAACATAAAATATCGACTTGCGGTTAATACTGCAGACGGGCGGAGGGATGGCGATGCGGCAAAGCACAGACGGCGTCATGGCCCTGATTGCTAGAGCTGGAGTATGAAAAAGGCTGCGTGCGCATACCACACTAAGGCCACACAGCTACCGCCGTTGCTATGCGCCGCAACTCAGGAAATAAGGGGAAACAGTTCTCCGCCTGAGTGTGAGGGGGGAGGGGTGCAAGACACATAGCCACATTATCGTGAGTAAACGATTTAAAAGGTGGGCGCGCGGACACGAGTGGCTTTGTACCACGTCATGCACGCACATCCACATGGACTACGCATGTTGACATGATAAGCGGTAGTCGAAGAGACCTCGTTAGGGTGAAACGTTAATTGATAAGACAATAGCGTGTTCATAAAAAAAAGGTGACTATAATCGACGTCACACTTTTGTGGGAAGGACCGTATGTAGTCCTCCGTTTATTCAATACACCTTTAGTTGAAGCGGATGCGGTGACTCCAAAGCACGCACACGTACTAAACAAGACAATGGCATAAATCATGCATGACACTAATTAAGTCAACGTCAACGATTTACTGAAGTTGAAAATTTTTTGTATTGAAAACGCTTGAACGACGTTATTTCAACCTTTGGAGATGTGTAGGAGCGTCGGTCAACAACGGCAAGAGATCGCATTGAGTAGGGTTTTCACATCCCAAAAAATAACTGAATGAAACTTTGTGTACAAAAAGTATGCCCCCTGTGTGTTGATTTGGTTCAATTAAGCAACTATGCGTCAGAAGAGCACATTTATGGGATTCATGAATAAATGTTCAACACAAAAACGCAAATCGAAGAATATATTAGAGCATTCAGTTGGAAAACTCAGCTCCAAAATAAGAGATAAAATATCTAAGACATCGTGAATTAACATACCTTGGGAAAGGAGATCAGAGAATGCAGCTTGGTCTTCAGCACCAACTATGAGATCGGTAAAGGGCACGCCAAGGAGACCTTTAGGAGAAATGGTTTGAGAAGCGGGGGAGTGAGTTTGAAGGACATTTAGCACTCTGTGGTCGCAAAAGTTAATAATTCCCTCCCCACTCAAGCGAGTCGTGAATTCATAGGAGCGATTAGGCATCAGATCACCTGCATGAGGTAAGTTGGTAAGTTGAAGGCGTGCCAATGCTACAAAATACATTGGCTGTGATGGCTGGTTTGGCAATGCAGGCTGACAATTAGTTCCCGAGCCAGTCATTTCACTCACAGAGAGCCCATCTGCAAATAAAATAAATGACAATTGCACTACATCTTTTTGCATCCTCGTTATAAGGGGCTGTAACCAGAAAAGATTTATGAAGATAGGAATGAAGGTTACTTTCTAAATTATCTAGCGGACAGACCAGGATAGTTTCGTGTCTGATTGGGAGGGGCGGTCAGAAAATAACGCGCGTATGAAGTGAAGGGAATCACAACACGTGAAATACGGCAGCAATGTAAAGTGACAACAACCGCAAACCGTGAATGTAATTGTTAACATAAGCTTGCATCCTTTATGCACGATGTCAAGAACGCGAAAAGAAAGTCTCCACTGAAGCAGTGATAACCTAAATGTATTGGCGAAAAGATGTACTTCAAATACGTTTACACCTCAACAACACCGCGACTACTTCAAGTTGAATGTGTACACACTGTTATCGACAATGACACAAAACCAGCCATGAAACGAAAGATGAAAGGCAGGCGACCCGGGCGAGCAAAAATGCCGTAAGGTTGGAGGACCCATGAAATGGCGAGTTTGCTGCAGCCATCACACAGCGGCTTGCCGAGAGCGAGTCACGGGTACAGCACAGTAGTGTGAAGGAATGCGAGGAAGCCAGACAAATTAACTTTGCCAACCGGGTAACTTGCTACCAGAATTTCGGTGGTATTAGAAAGAGAACAAAGCAGAAGTTGCAGCTACTATCATTTGACCTATTACATGGAATACATAAAGGGAACATCGACAAACCCCTCACATTTAATTCAAACACAATCTGTGGCTTCCGCTGAAACGGTAGGAAAATGAAAACGAAAACAAACAAGCGACAACTGATCATCGGTACCACAACATTCAGCTACTCTTAAACAGATTGTATTTTGTGTTGTAGGCACTGTGGCAGTTGGGTATGTGCATCAAGAGCTTTTAACAAAGATATATTAGCTTCAGTTTTGGTTAAGGTAATAACTTTTGTCCATCAAATAAAACCGACATTATCTACATCATATATTGCCTAATGATCCACGGCAGTGTAAAAGCTAACACCTCTCAAGCATACAATATTCGCACGCCCGTGAATTCACCCAAATGTATGTAAACCAATGAAGCGCATGGTGCGAACGAAGAGGATGCAGTTCAAACTGTGTGAAAAAACAGGACGGGAAAAAATAATTCAGGTAAGTACCCTACCACGAAACACACTTCGTTTAAAGGTTGAGCTAGAAATAAAAAAAATTGGCTGCGTACCTGGGAAATACACAAATAAGAACCTTCTTAGTGTCAAACAAAAACACTGAACTTTATCTAGACCATGAACAACCAATACGAGGCACACGGTGTAGGAAAATGAACACTTGAACGCCACACAAGAAACGGTTTTGTTTAAAACATGCCACCCCTCACGAACAAAAGATGCGTCACCCGCTTTAGTAGGCGATTATCTAGTAACTGAGATCACGTAGATTTGAAAGAAAACTGTTTCAGGTAATAATGCTTCAAAACGGCTGATACGTACAGATACTGACTTAAGAAGTTCAAATCCAACAACATGAATGGATCAAATACTTAAGCATAAAACTGAAGCGATACAAAGTGAGCACTGAACTTTTCGAAGTAGGTGCTTGTAGCATATTTGAGATGGTTGGCGAGCAGTTTAGGTAAAAGTGCAATCAGACAAAAACTTGTAGCTTATTTATAGTCAGTAAAAATTATTGACGATCGCAGGCTGTCGTCACCAAAAAAGGAAAATCTGCAAGTGCCAACTTTTTCGAGTAGTACGGACTAGCCTCCTTTGTAATTTAACTATACTAGAAAGTAGTTGCAGCAAACTTTCAGGCTGGTGATTATGAGTACGATGGCAGTTATTAGGGTGACAACAAAGAGTACGATTAAAGCCACAGCCGGTCAATTCAAACAGAACGTTGAAGGTGCGAAATATCTGCTAAACTGCAAAACCTTGGCAGATATTACAAGACTGAAAGGCTATTTACTAAAAATAAGAAAAAAATTATTAAAAATAATCCACCTAATAGAGAGGCAACAATTGCTGAGGATTGGTGGTTGGTTGTGTAGCCATCAAAATTAAGAGCAGTAGGGGAGCCGGGAGGTGAGGGACAATTCTTGAGAAAGCCGGTCACATGCACCAGTGCGTAAGGCTGCTGTGACGCAGCCAGAAAGTCAGAGCAGTCACCCTTGATGGAACTAGACGCTGAGAGCACAAACTGCTGGTGCCGGAGACGTGCCTGGCGAGCGGCGGCTGAAGAGGAGGTCGAAGACATTTGAGTGGCTGATGGTGATGTACCCAACTTCATACGGCAGATAAAACCCCGGCGAAGACCTGTCGACCCACCGCGAGATAGTGCTAAATTCACACAAAACCAGTATCTGTTGGACTCGACAAATTTATTCGAATAAATATGCAATGCATTACTATACATAATGGGAAGGCAGTTTTGGGGGTCCCACTAAGCTGCTAAATAAGCTCAGCGACTGGGTCAAGCTCTAACAAGTTACTAGACAAATTATGTTGATCAGACCGACTAATAAGTGCATTTTTATCATGTAAAATTGCCGAATATTCGGGAGAATCCATTCTTAGAAAGGCTGATTCTAACATTCACATTATATATAAATCGTTTATTTACATCAAGTGACATGGTTCATTAAAGTGCCATATAATACGTTATTTGAATCACCTATGGCGCGTTAGGAAACGAAGTATCAGTTCGTGTTCAGCAAACTATGGAGTCGACTATTGTCTCATAGATAGGTTTTTAAGAAATTACAAGCTTGCCTAGAGTACTTTCAAAACCTTCCAATCAATAATGTCAAGTTCATGGCTTAACAACCAAATGAATTAGCAGAGGAGAGAAATTTGCGTTTAATGTGAAATCGAGAAATGCAACATATTGGCACATACGTCCATCCTTTTTTACAGTCCCTGTTTTGAGGTCTAACACACGAGAAACAGTTGAGCCGGCTGTCCCAGAAGTGGAACCACTTAGGTAACTTATTCCATTAGGGAGCTGATCATGCGAGCACCCAACGTTGATCGCAGCACCAGATACGACACTGGATGTTCCTACAAGTTGTTCTCGAATCTTTTCCGCATCATCAGGATGACATAATTCATACAGGTTATGCTGATACCAGTCAGACTAAAACAAAAACAGAGACTAACTGAAAGGTCTCAAATTTTAAAAAAGTAATTTAGGTTTTTCTACCTGGCTTTCATTGAGAACAGCAGAGACGCTATCAGAAACGAAGAGTATCTTTCCAGTATCACACTGGCATACAAAGAGAAATCCATCAGCAGCCTGGAGGTAAAAGAGAACGACCATAACATCGACAGTATAAATATTAATCTCAAAAAGGGATATCTGTGTTACCTCGAGAATTAGGTGTTTAAGTTCTTGGTCGGATAGAAACGTTGGCTTAATGGAACCATCGGCAACGGTATTGCTAGTGCCTATAAAAAGAAAAGAAACCAGTCATTATGGCATAAATACAAATGTACAATGTTAATAAACGAGTGTAAAAAAATTCATCCTTGATTATTTCAATTTGAAGTTTTTTTATTAAATGTTTTTATGAAGTGGAAACAACATGGCATGACTTGCATGGTTCCCAGAAAAAAGGTCCTCAACACCCTCTAGTACTATCTGTTACTTTGAGCTTCAACCTATAATCCAGGCGGGGATATACCAAAGAGTCTCAGCTTTAGAACAGCTTCCACGAATCTCCAAATAACAGAAATATATTAAACTCACCACGAAGACCCTTAAGATGACTAACAGCCATTCGAAGAATAGTCAGCTTATCAGGTTTTCTTGAAAGCGAATTACACGTAGGCACCATTTCACATAACTCATTTATGTAGGCGGTCATCTTATTTCGTCGACGCCGTTCAATTTCACAGTGGCTTTCCCTGGCATAGCGTTCTTTATCTAGTTGATCCTGGTTATCGTCTGGTTTTGAACGAACACAACTATTGCATGGAATGTCTTCGCACATGCTAGGAAGAGTGTAAACCGAAAAGTCATTCTTACTCTTGTTCACTTCCCATTTGGCTTCCACGAGTAAACTGTGACACTTGAAACAGTTTAATCCTGCAAAGTAAAACAAACAATCAGCAAAATAGCAAAAACGTGAATGCGACATGAATGAGGAAATGCAATGCGACAAAACAGGCACAGACCTAATAAAACGTCACAATACACTGTCAAGGGAATTTCAAACTGAGGTCAAAAATTAATTGTGCAAAAGCGCACTTAAACAAATTGATTTCAAATGAATTAGCCTTTTTAACAAATTGGACTAAAGTGCACCTAAACCATTGCTCAACCTTACATGCATACTTTGTAGACGGCTAAACTTATATTCAGGAACACGATTATTACGCCTTCAAAGAATTATGTTTTCTCCTCGAAACGCAAAAGTTGAGAGTAACCCCTATATTAAACATTCGAATACTTATTTTTTAATCAAGTTTTTTGGTTGTTTTTAATATATTCCTTAAGATTGCCTTCATTTTTTTTCAATCACATAAAAACACGAGCGTTATCAGATTATAATGACCGTTCCATTTGTCAGCGTGAGAATCAAATTTCCTGCAATTACTCTGGGCGAAATGTTAGTCTAAAACTATCCGCCATGTTTTTTGTCAAAATTTCCTTCGACATTCACATAAACGAACCTCACATTTTATTTTTCGCCATGTAAATGTATATAACGTTGTTCCTCATTGGTCTGTATAATAGTCCTGCTGGCGGTCATAACATGATATCACAGTTTCGCTGAATTATTTGATTTTATTTAGGAGTAAGGGTTTATACAATACACATTACTAACTAGTGTTTCTTTCAGTTCTTGCATATGATACCCGCTATATTTGTCGTCAAGTGTCCCCATTGTGTTACTGAGTGCCACAGTATGATGTTGCGAAGCTCCATAAATCTCCTTGCTGCTATTTGTGACGGTAAAGAAGATCGTTTTGCGTGCCTGAGAATTTCTTTCACACAAGCGCCAGCAAGAGCTTGTCCTGAAATTTCACTTGATGGTTGATAATGCTTGTTACAAAGGTACTCATCGAGATAAAATCAAGCATTGACTATCGGGTGAGGACAATGTGGACAAAATGACCTAGTCAGAATGAACGATATGATTTCTACTTATTTAAACGTTATCATCAATAGCAAGTCAAAGTATGCATTTATCGGTCGTCCCTGTCCAGCTTGGCCTGCAAATATTCAATACGTGTGGTGGTTTTCTATTGCAGCGGCCTGATAGACTAAATTTTGCAGCATATTACTATACAAAGAAGGATATCAATCAATGCCATACGATATAAAGGGTAGTGATATTTGATGATTTAAAAGAATCATTTCGCGTAATGATATGTTGAGATGCGGTCTTATGCAGGAAAAAAAATTAATTTTTTTTATCAAGTGGTGAAAATCAGGCTGAAGTTAGAGTCAAGATTTAACCAATATATCGGTTTTAGATATTTTTAGGCTGAATAATAAATGTGCCTCTAGATGTATGCTTCATCATTGTATATTTTGTCTTTTACGTCAAAAGAAGTTTTAGAAACTAAAACCTTCAAAACAGCTTTTTTTAAGTAAAACATCGAGTGCCTTGTTTGTCTTTATTCGAAATTAGCTGTATCAAACGCCGGGTTGTAAAAAAATTTGCTGTATCGCGAAAAAGACAGACAGATCAGAGTAGGTGAAATAGATATGCAAATTCATGAACTTTATTTAGGTGACACTCACCCGATTCCCTTCCTTCTGATTCCTGGTCGGCTACATTTTTCCCCGCAGAATTCAATCAAGCGAAAAACTGCAAGAAAGTGTTTGAATAAGGCGTGGGTTCGATTCGCGTTATTCGAACGCATCCGCTGCCACCAATGTAGAATACCCGAGCCCTAATAGGAAAAATACCGGTACAACAGAACAGGCTTTATTGACCAATCAGAAGCCAGAGCCACACATCAGGCGCCTTCCATCCGAGTCCACCACGCTGGCCACGCCGCTCATTATATACTGCATCTCATCCATGTCCTTCTCTG